ATATTAAATGAAAACACAGTGAGTACACTAGTTTTCATGCTAGTTTAAGAGGTTTTTTTTCAGGTATTTTGAAGTGTCAATAGCTATGCTAGAAAACAGTTGGCTGCTCAAAGCTTCCAAAGTAAAATGATAAGAAACTATTTTATATCTATGTAAAGGTTTCACTGAGGCTTCTTTCTTTCATTCTTATTTTTTTCTAGATAATGACTTCTTAGAAAGGAAAATTAAATGTTCCAAATTATTAACAAGCCACACACTCCCCAGACAATAAATCTACCTAAAACACAGCACAGATTAACCATACAATAACTTTATAATCAATTTTCTATGTATTGTATTAGACAGATCGTACTGTACAAATTCATTGGTTTCATATTATGGGTCTTCTACAGAAAAAACCCCGCACGTAAGTTCGGCCTCCTGCTCAATCTCCTCCTCAGCTGTTAGGCTGCTACCAGACCCCTCTCAAGCCACCTCTTCTCCTGCTAAGCAGCCCCAGTTCCCTCTGCTGCTGCTCACAGGTCATGTGCTCCATACCCCAGTTATCTTGCTGGTTCTCTGGAGTCTATCAGCATTTTTCCTGCAAATTATACTCAAGTTTTCTTGTAAGTTGAGACCCAAAGTGCACGCAGTACCTAAGCATGGGCTAAGAAGCATCATGTACAGGGGAATAACTTTCCCCATAACTTTGGCTCTACTGTGGTGAATACAGCCCCAGATAGTGATGACCTTCTCTACTGCCAGGAAATTCTGTTGGCTCATGTTGGCTCCTGTTCACGTCGCTTTCTTCCTGATGGCCCCAAGGTCTTTGCCACAGAGCTGTGCCCCAGCTAGTCAGTCTCTTGCCTGCATTGTCTCAAGAGGGTCTCACTTCCCAGATGCAGGCCTTTGCATTTGCCTATGCTAAATTTTTAAAGTTATCCTGTAAGTCCATTCCTCCAGCCTTGTGAGGTGCCTCTGAACAGAAACCTTGCCCTGGCCCACATCCCACCCCCACCACTCTCAAGTTTTGTGTCACTTGCAAAATTAATGAGTGCAATATGATCATACTACAAATGTTGATATATTTGAATTTAATAAAAAAAAATTCCTCTTTTAAATAGGCATGTCTATCGTAGATAGACAAAATAAAACTTTTTATCTTTTTTTTTAATATGTATATAAGCAAACCATATTGTGAATGCATTAGCCCATCCTAACTATGTTCCATAAGCTGTTCTTTTGTTCATGATGCTTTTTCAAATACTATTGAAGGACTACAAAAGATACAAATGTAATTTTGTTTTCTGACATTTCCACACAGAGTGGAGATACTGGTTGTTAAACTAAAATCTTGTAGAAAAGTTTTCCTTTGATTAAAAACAGGCAAGGAAAAAGAAAACCTCTTGATACATTTATTTAAGAACCATATTATTCACCAGCATCCAATGACACCAGAAGTGGGTCATATAGGAATCTAGTCCAAAATGAAAGATCATGGGAGCCTGTGAAGAACTCTGGTTTTCTCAGTTTCTAAATAAATATTATTTTATGCTAATTGCCAAATATTGGCAAAATAGCAGATTTGAAAAATGAGAAAACTGAATATAAAAATTTTCAGATCAGTGTTAGACTTAGTTTCTACGTGGTTCCTACTGAATTGTGCAAAGAAAATGAGCTGACTTAAATATCATTTCAATTAATGTAAATGAGAAGTTACTCTACAGAAATCTAGTCATGACAATGTTCAGAAAATAAGTGTTCATGAGTCTAATTTCTCACAGACATTAACTACTGCATCTAAATGGTTATGCTCAGAAGTCAGTGGAAAACAGAACTGTACCTAAAAATGTTCAGCAGTAATAACAAACAGAAAAGCTTCTCAAAATTATTTCATTTTATAAATATTTCATATGTATCAAACTTATCATGTTGATTTCAAAGCAAAGAGAGAAGTGTAACAAGTTATCTCAAAACAAGATCATAACAAGTGAAAAATTGGCAGATCTTGATATCAAGTTACTTAACAGAGGAGGACAAAAATCTAATGACACAACCCATGCTTCACAGAAAATATTTATTGTCTCTGAATATACCTACATGGAAACCCATTATCTACACAGTTCCTTGCAGAATTTAGAAACTGAGAAAAGTAAAAAACTACAAATAAATTATTTGTCCTGAAATGGTGAATTTGAAAATTCCAGGATGATTGAGGTAAGTTTAAAAAATAACTAAATGAAACTTCTCAATTTTTTAAGAAAATAAATAGGTTTTGGGGTTTTTTTTTAGGCAATCTCTGTATCAAAGTGAATTTTTAAAATTAATCTTCTGTTTTAGCAGTAGTGAGAGTAGGGAGAAACTGGTGACATTGGTTTATATTTTTAAAGAGGAAGTTTTCTATGCTTTGTAATAGGAAATAAAAGGCATCTACATTCACTATTTGCCATATTTTTAATTCTCTTGTCTTAACTTGGGCTTATTTTTTTGTGAATAATATAAAACAAGAATTGGTGTAGACCATCAGCTCTCCTGAATTAGTAAATATACCAGATCGAGGAATCTGGTATCTGTCTCACTGAGACACCAAATAAAATCAAACATAAGTTTTAAATTCAGTTATCCTCACTCTTTCCCAGTTCTTAAAACCCACTTCACTTTACAGGTTTATATTATTCTAATCATTCTTCCAATGTCTCCCACTATATCACTGAGAAGCAAAACCCTTTTTCCTTCCTTTTTCTTTTTCCTAACAAATTTTATCCAATGTCACAGTAACATTCCAGTTGGACACAGGCCAACAGCCCAGTTTGGGAGTCTTAAAAGTATCCTTTTTTTTTTGTTTGGTGTTTCTGTAATCCTTGGCCCATAACTAAATTTTAATTATCAGAGAAGTATGTGCGATTAATTAAAAAATATTTGTTCTTCTGGCATAAATTCAGCTTTATCCTAAATCAGGATCTGTTGGCATTTCATATATAGTACCATATCCATCAACCTGCAGATAGTTTTAAGCTTGAATAGTTTGAATTAATTTTTTACTTTGGCTGCTAATTGAAGTCCTTTTCTGTTGAGAAATCTATTTCTTACGTACATCATCAGGGAAAAGGAAACTTTATTGGAGCTTCACTAGTGGCAAAAGTTTTTGGGATGCAAATACTCAGATTTCAAAGCTATGTAGAGATGATGAATATCTCATGAGAGGTTGTAAAGGACTCACGGTATGAGTTTTAATGTTTAACAATAATTCTTAGAGTTAATGCCATACCTGAGTTACACATGAACAGGATGATGTGGACTAATATTAATAACAATAGAATTACATTACTCAGATTATTCAGCTACAGTAAGTTCTTTGTCTCATTCTAAATGTTGACCTTGCATGTTAACAATTTTATAGCTGAAATGTACAGTGCTAGATAATCCTCCAAAGTAAGAGGTGAAAGTAGTGTTGTTATTCATACAGATAGTTTCATTTCAAGTTTAGTGGCAAGTTAAATTAAGAAAAGAATCAAAAGAGAGGGGCAAAACAGCATACACTAAGTTGGGATGATGATTCTTTAATTATATGTGTTTCATTCTTAATCTTTTACGCTTACCTACTTTGTAACTTTTTCAACATGTAACTCTTTGGAGAAAAGGAATACCTTAGATTTAAAAATAGACAGGACATAGAATTTTGTTACCCTTGGTGGAAAAAGTACTCTTTGAATTTCGAGTACAAAAGGAAATTTCAGCTAATTCAACCTAAAACAAATTGCCTCTAGTACCAGCCTGTAGAAAACTATAGCAGCATTGTGGTCAGTACAAATAAATATATTATTCCCTAAGCTCCTCTGCCGCACATAACTGATTTACAATACCAAACATTTTCTGAGGTTGATAATGAACTATATCAGAAGAAAGGTAGGAACTGAGAGTAGGTCTGCAAATTTTCTGCCTCAGTCTTTTCCATAGAAATTGTCTTGAGGAAAGGCAAATTAAATCACCCAGAATGTAAATCCTGGGTAATGTACAATAATAAATGATGGCATCATTTGGCAAGTACATGAAGTACCATACTTCCAGTTTCTTCACTGTATGAGTTTGACAATGAATGCAGTCATTCTGTATTTTTCCCAAAAGAGATAAACTAGTTGACCTAAACCCAGCCAGTGTAGTTCATACACCAACAATTTTGCATTATGGGAATAGCATCAACAATTTCAGCTCGTGAAATGAAAGGAAATTTTCTTTGTTTAGAATACTCTCAATTTGCTCATAGCCCTTTTAATCACATTCCAAGTTAAAGTTTACATTCTTTACTGCAATGCAGTGTAGAGGTAGATAGCACTGTCACTGAAAATGTGCCAGCCTGAGTGTTGCAGCAGTTTAGTTGCTGTATTCTCCACAGCATTTAACTGACCATTCTGAAAAGCAAAATGGCTCAACCAAAGTCTTGCCCCAGTTACAGTGTTCCTAACATGTAGAGTCAGTCATTCTAGATCAAGAATTTTTCCTCCAGATCTGTGTGTTCAGGAGAAAACCACTCTGTCCAGATTTATCCAGGTTCTGGGGTGTTCTAACAGTAGAAATCTGTTATTTCCCTGTATATTAGTTAGTAGTCAGAACATGTAATAATGAGAAACAATTTCATGTGTGCGTGTCACATAGGCAAAAAAAAAAAAAACCCCTCTAAAAAGATGTAAACTGTACAGATAACTATTAACTGCCTTTTGGAATTCTTAATTTCTACATCTTATTCATTATCACTCAGAACCTTTTTTCAAATCATGAAGTGCTGATGTATAATTCAATTCATCTGCTCTGTATATTAACCTTTAATATCAAACAAATTTACATAAGCAAATGACGAAATGGAGTGAAGCAATGACACCTTATCTTGATGAAATGGAGATTACCTGGAGTATTCTCTTTGCTTTGCTTATCCTTTTTCCTCATCAGAACACATTAACTTAAATCATCAATAGATAAGATCCTAGATTCTGTTCATTTAATCAAAAAGACGTTTCAGTCTTAGGTGAGAAAGAATAGCATTTATTGAACACACCATCAATACAAGCATATCTTGGCTGTGATTCAGTTCAACAGGCCTTGGATGTCTCAACAGACAACTCAATCAAAGCAGAATTAAGTTTTCAAACCTTTTAGTTTTATAATGCCTTGTAACTTATAGTCTTATTATTTCTTCAATACTATTGTCCCTTTTGTTTTTGTAACCTGACCACGCATCTTATCTCACAGCAGTGATCTAAATTTCAAGTATCACTTGAGTTATTGTGAGAGTTCAGCCCACTCCTCAGACACTTCAGGCACAGTCTGCATTGCCACTTGCCTTTTGTGATCAGGTACTGCATTTGAAGTCATGTGAATATGTACACAGTGGAGTGTGCTTGTACCTTCAAAGCCAAGAGCACCTTCTCAGATTATACCTGTACTTCAAAGAGGTCATCAGGAACTTACTAAGGCAAGTCTGGAATGGAATGGAAAATGTGAAAAAAAAATGTAAAAAACAAGAGACCTTGTTTTTTATTGTAAAAATTATTAAAATTGTTAGAATGTTTTGCAACATTCAAAAACTGGTTCCCACACTGCTTTATAAGGAAGGTGCTGCTGACTCAGTCACAGCATGTATTAAGTTCAGATGAACAGAAAATAGACCCTATTTTATGTTGAATGCTGAAACGGTGCATGATCAGGCATCAGCAGCTGGCACACAGGTATGTGATTTTCTTTTTTTTTTTTTTTTTTGTTTAGAAATGACAGTTGAGGTGTATCATGTTCCTACTTCATACAGAGAAAATAATAAAAAAGGAAAAAATTGCTTTCAGAGAGACAGTGAATCATATCTATGGTATAATAATGGTAGAGAAAAAAACCAAAACAACAAACTCAGCAGTAGGCATAGTAGTTTTACCAAGCAACAGATGTTAGTCCTGTTGTTTAGTACTTTCCTGGAAGATAGTGAAGTACATTATTGTATAAAAGTGTAAAAAAATAAGAATCAGAATAGAAAATTCATATAGAAAGTCATATTTTCTTGGTCTGTAAAGAATGTCCTTTTGTAGGCTCAACTTTCACATTAAAATATGGTTTCATCATAGAGGATTGGACTGTAACATCCATTTCCTTTTCCTGTCTATATTACTGGGTGGTATACTCAGGAAGGAATAACATCAGTTAACCAGTTAACCAGTTAATCAGTTAATTGGAGGATTCAGAATTATAGTAGTCAGCTCTAGTAGAGGTATCAATGATTTGAAAAGAGGTTGAATAATTAACTCTATCTCTTTATCTGATTTACATGAAAGCAGAAAATCACAACAAATAATTACTAAGCTCCAGCATTAGGCTTGATCTTTTCCTTTGAATAAGTCTTTATTGCTGCTGCTAGAGCAGAGATGACTTTTCAAAGATATTAGGGAAGTAAGGGAAAGATCTTTTAATTTTTCTTCCTGCAATACTGTGTGTACCTCCTTTGGATTTTAAGAAGACTGCAGGCAATCAGTTTCCCTAGTGAGGACCTGACCTCTGGATCCCTGTCATTTTCTACACCTGCTGAAAGAATGAGAAATCAGAGAATCCTAATATGCTTTCCTTAAAGATATGAGAAGCAGTTTTTCTGGATCAATGAGGTTGTTCTTTGCCATCTAAGTAAAGTCAGGCTTTGATGAAATTAAGGTGTGGGTAGGAGCAAGGGAACTTTGCCTTCAAGAACACAGAAATGTCCTTATGCCAAGGATACCAAAGCAGTGATTTGGATGAAAGGACAGGGGAGAGGCTAGAGCAGAAAAAGCCTGAAGAACTCCTAACTTCTTTCCTTGTTTTATATGAATATTTTTATTATCCTTTCTCCCATTTTCCTTAACAAACCACATTCTTCCTGCATTTACGCAGTCTCTCCCTACTGCAGCTGCAAGCCTTCACACCATCACCCAACTTCTCCACGGAATCCACTCAACTTGTAACAACATCATGTGTGCTTTGACCATTGCCCCACATTTCTCCCAAAACAGCAGTTCTGTTCTCCTGATCTTGAAGCCCTTTAAAGGCTCATCATGGGGAAAGGCCTCATGGAAAAATCATAGGTTATCCTTACAGTATTTCTGAGTTCTTTGGATAGCCTTGAAAATAATTCATGAAGCTGCATAAGACCTAAGCTATGGCAGAAATTAATACATAAACCACACAGAATTACGCAGGGAGTAAACAATAAATGGCACAAACAGGAGGATACAAATGTATTGGGTAATTAGTCTGATGAACAAGAGTTACACAAACTGCAAATAACAATTAAATATTCCATCATAGTATCTGTGTACATGCAAATTTCCTTTATATTTTTACATTTGAGAAGGGGAAAAAATATGGTTTTGGTACTTCGTATTCTTTCTTCCTTTGATTATCTTTATTCTTCCTTCCTTTTTTTCTTTCTAGAGACTTCTGAAACCAGCAAAATTTTATGGCTGCACCTGAATTTTGCACAGTACAAAATCATAAATCAATATGATAAATCAGTTTCTGTGTCCTCTCCATCATAGATAGCAGGGGGGTTCATCGCATTTATAACTTGCTGCAGTGATTATTATGGCGAAAGGAAAAAAATGAAAGAAGAAAAATATTAAATCTCTGACTAGAACAAGTCTAACAATGGATATCTCATAATTTATTTCATTGCTTTTTGCAATACCTTTTAAAATGTAATCTAATATATAACTTCGTAATTTTTCACTGAGATCTCAATATTTGCGAATGGTTGGAGAGATAACAGTCACTTCAGTGTCTAAAGAAGTTGTGGAACTAATTCAACCCAGTAAAATAATCTTAGCCAAGTATCTCTGACACCTAGGAGTGAAAAAGGAAGCAAATATGATTGTGACAGAATTCACTGCAGGAAGCAACAGTAACAGTGATTCTGTCTCAAGCCAGAGGTGTTTTACTGTAATTGCTGCTAGATGATCTAACATATACTCTTTTTCTGTAATGCAGCCTTGGATAACGCCTGGCTACCAGCTGACTTGCTTCAACACCTGAATGCCAAAAAGTGCAATTTTAGAAGTGACATTGCTGATCTATTTGCAGAACACATCACCTGCCATCCGCAACATTGCTTGGGAGGGAGATCCATTAGCAAAAGAAGCTTCAGAACAGAAATGAGGAGCTTTTCTTTCTTCTTGCTGGCCTCTTTTCATCTTCTCTTCTTATATTTCAGTAGGTAATTTTTCCCACTTCTTCCAGGCTTTACGCTATGGTAGTGGTTCTGAATGCTGATGAGGCTCTGCTTAATGCAACTTCAGGCAATGCAGCCTAAGCCTTCTATAGCCAGAGAGCCTTTCAAGAACCCTCAATTAGCAAGCATCTAGACAGAAAAGATAATAGAATGAAATACTTAATAAGCCCTTACAAAGAGACCCAATGAAGGTACCAAGGCAAAAATTTGAACATGGTATTATCATTCAAATACTTGATACATATGTACAGTCTAAAAAATATAGCTATTAATATAGATATACATCGATTAGTTAATGTTTATCTTACTTCAATTACAAAAATTTGCTTCGGTATCTCTAATATTGCTGGTCATAGCTCTATTGTGCTATATCTCTATTTGTGCTTCATCTGTCCTGTGTTTAGCTGGAACCTGTACAGTAAGTCTGTGTATTTTAGAATTGAGAATTCAGATTAAATTCCTATTTATCTAGCAGATCCAAAATAATTTGTGTGTTGCAGTGCTGTGCTGCTTTCAAAACAATTATATAACCATGCAGATTTTGATTAGCACAAATGATATTTCAATTATAGATGAGTAGTGCCTGCTGAAATAAAATTCATACCTGTTTGAAAATATTAAATATAGATCATAGTGGCAACACCATTTTGGAGCTTGCTTTTTCCTTTCTTTCTTTCTTTCTTTCTTTTCTTTCTTTCTTTCTTTCTTTCTTTCTTTCTTTCTTTCTTTCTTTCTTTCTTTCTTTCTTTCTTTCTTTCTTTCTTTCTTCTTTCTTTCTTTCTTTCTTTCTTTCTTTCTTTCTTTCTTTCTTTCTTTCTTTCTTTCTTTCTTTTCTTTCTTTCTTTTCTCTCTTTCTTTCTTTTCTCTCTTTCTTTCTTTTCTCTCTTTCTCTCTTTCTTTCTCTAGTTCTTTTCTCTCTTTCTCTCTTTCTTTCTCTAGTTCTTTCTTTTTTTTTTTCTCCTTCTTTATCATTTATAAATATTGATTACCACAGGTAGTACACTTTCAAAATACAGAACTGACTCTTTACAGTACAAATAAAATGGAAATAAAGTATTAATCACCATTGAAAACTTCCAAATTGAATGCTCCAAAGCATCCAAATATTTTCATATTTGAATACAAATACAGAACAAAATTTTGAAGTTGAAATTAAAGTGTCTCAAGAATGAAATATATCTCTTCATAAGTAAACAGGTCCATTGGGACAACAGTTAATTATCCAATATATAGATAAACTTTAATTTACATAAGAGAAAATGAAGACATATCAGAGGACAGCACACTCTGTATTATGTACATCACTTTCTAAATTGTATACAGAAAAAAATGATGACTAAAAATAGAGCTGTTCAAGTAGTATTTTCAAATAAACTATAGCTATACTCTTTCAGCTTTATTCAGATCCAGATTTCCCCTGAAAATTGAAAAAATATTCCTTCAGTGGTATGCATAAGTTCAGACTTCAAGAATTCGAATTGCAGATTTTTTTACCTCCAGGGGCCTCGAAGTAATAGTGGACCTACATGAAGACCCCACAGATGATGCCATTACAGGAGGTGACTCTTCCTTTGATTGAATAGGTCAAAGTCATACACTTCTTGCAGAGACTGCAATCCAGTTTCATCTCATTTGTTTTAGTATGGAGTGATAGAGATGAGGAATAATGCAGTGTTCAGGGTTCTCTGCCTCAGCCACACTTTCCCTCTCTGACAGTCGGAACAGTGATGGGACTCAGAAAAATTGCTAAAACTTATCTGGGATTACAAAACTAATTTCAATTGGATTGAAGGAAGGTCTAGAAATTAGATCTTGAGGGAAGTGTATTTTTCCATTCCTGATTGTGTGAAGACTTGTATATATATTTATCTTTACATATGCAAGTTAAGAAGATGCAGACAACAGAATAATTCACAAAAATGGTATTTAAACACATACACCACAGTTGTCAGGACAGAAATCTCTGTAAAATTGTGCCAGACAAATCACTCATTACATAGTTAGTACTTCAGGGTTAAAAAAAGACATTATATTCAACTGAATAGATTATTTATGAAAAATGAGATGATCGATAGCTGAGTATTCTGCCTAAATCTATTTCATAGAATAAATCTCACCTGACTTGTTAATGTGGTGACAGCTATGAATCTCATTATTTTAAGTTCTGACTGCTGGACACAAGTTTTATTGCAATGACTGCCATGAGAAATATTTTTACTTAAAAAACAGAGTACTAAAAGCACAAACCCTACCTTGAGGCGAGCTTGCAGCAGTTTTATCTGCTCTTGCTAGAGTTGCTCTCAACAGCTACGGTGGGTTTAGAGCACCTCTTTGTGGTATGTTAGTGAGATGTTACTTATGAAAAGAAAATCCACAGAAAAATGTGTTTCATATAGTGGATAGAAATCTATTTTAAAAAGGAAAGAAAAATTGCTAGAAAAATATTAGTGTTAATTGTTAAATAGGTGATGGAGAGTAGTAATGTGCATCCTTCCTCTGTTCTTTTTCTGTAGTTTATGTTGGTGTTCTATACAGTATATCCTAGCCCATGAAAAGTTATGTACAATATGTATTTAATATCTGTTGTGATTACACTATCATTATATCTTCATTTTAGAAATCATATTAATAATGGTAATAGATATTATTGACTTTAAAATACTTCCTGCAATTATCTCAAAATCTATGGTGAAGTACATCTGCTATGATAAAGATGAAATTTTATCTAAATTATGTTGCACTAAAATTTTCCTTTATGCAACTAAATACATAAGTACAGAAAGATAAAAGTTACATTTACTTCAGTTCTACCACTGTCTCGTTCCTTCACTGGCTGAATGAACTGTATCCTCTTTATTCACAGAGAGAGAAAGTCTAAGCCATGTAAGAATGATGCTGGGAAAAGGAAGTATATACCTTGCTTTCTCCCACACATAATGAATTTTCCAAGGTTTTGGAGCTGACTCTGCAAGTAAGTCTCAAGGTAGCATAATTCTAGGATTCAGAGGAAAGGTGTTAACGTAGAGATGTCTCTTTTGGAGAGTACCTCAAGGAGTTATATTTATTTATGTTATATAAAAAGAGCAGTTCTTTATGAATCAGTGACATGTATGGAAAGTGCTCTGTTATGGAAATTAGAATGGGAATCACGTTGAGTTCAAGTGAGCTTGTATAATTAGTATTTTAATAGTGTGGTTTTTCAAAGGAAGAATTTTCAAAACTGGTACTTTCAAATAATTCCATTAAAATAAATTATAGATTATCTTAGGGAAATACAAGTCTATTTAAAAGTATTAGTGTTTTAGTGTGGAAACTAAACTAATTAAGGTAATAGGAAGGAAAAAATTCTAGAGTTTAATCACAGTGTACAAACCATCATACTTCATACGTATAGACAAACTATAGAAATAGCATGAAATATCTCCCTAGAAGTGCATTTATAAAATTATCAATAGTCATTTCTTTGCACAACAAAATTTGGAAGGAAGATCAGACAGTTTAGAATTATGTATACACAAAGTACATGTTTTGCCATAAAAATAATATCTAATACAAAAAGCAATAAAAAATATCGTGGGACACAGAAATCCTCTGTCCTTGCCCTGGTAAATAACTGGGGGGAATTTCTTGTTCATATATGCTAGAGAATAAATCAGTCCTCCAAAGTAGGACTTTTATGTGTTAGGAGACATTCCCATTGGAAATTCATGTACATTTTAATATAAATGAGCATTTATAATTTAGAAAGCTTAAACACCCCACAACTGTTCCCTAACCACCATTTATGTATAATGCCTTTGTTAGTCTGTCAAGCCAATATTTAGGATTTTTTTTTCCCTATTATTGTGGAGGCCACCCTTGCAAGGATTATAACATATGACAAATATGGATAGATAAGAGATTTTGGTATTTACTCTAAAGCTTATGTCAGCTTTCCTGCTTTTTGAAGCGTAAGCCTCTTTTTGAATTGTATCCAAACAGCCAGACATCTTATGTGAAAAATGTCTTACTATGCAAAGGTCTGTGAGATGACCATGGAATTCAAAGGGTATTCTGTCCATTGGGAATTTAGAAAGAAAAGGAGTCTCACTTTAGCTTAACATAGCTGTGTGAAATTAGTCTGTAAGCCTTTTCTGAATTTTACTGTCATTTTGTTCAGAAACAATGCTGCAGTCATGTTATGCATTTTTAGCCTGACTAGCAATCTGAAGCTACTGAAAGGTATTCTGCTACAGTGAGACAGTGGGCTACATCCAGAGCTTTCTGTCATACACATCAGATTGTTATCTTGTTGCTTTGACAATGCAACTAACTTTAAGAAGCAGAAAAGTTAAGCAAATACCTTCAATATGCCAAGGACTACAGTTTACTGGGCGATATGGAATCCTCCAACAGTCTAAGACATGGATATTATATGTGACAAATACTAAGGACACCTTTTCAATATTGGATGTAGTCTTTACTGTGGATTATCTGAGTAATAATAACATCTGAGTGTTGTGTAATAACATCTGATAACAAATTTCAGATGTGTTAGAAAGATAAAATTAATTATAAAAAATTGGTTCACTGATTTGTTTGTTTTTCTGTTCAGGAATTATTCATGCTTTGGCTACAATTTTCAAGAATTTATCATTATCTCTGGATTATGTGATAGGGTTGACTAGCAATTAGCTGGAAGAAATATTCCTTGATTAAAGATGTGACTGATCCCTACAAGGGTGAGAACAATAGCTAAATTTCAAGTAATGTTGAGGGCACCAGACCTCAGAGGAGTTGTGCAGCAGGACATGGAGCACAAAACACACATTTGACTCTAAAGTGTCTACGTATGCACACAAATGCAGTTGGAAAACCTGTGAGCTTTTTACCATACATATGTAAAACATCCTGTTTCAATATATTCTTGCTACTAAAATAATTTCTAGAAAGAAAAGAGGGGGGAAAAGGAACAGAAAGATATGCAGAGATGCAAAGACAGGCAAAAAATATTGTTCTGAAGAATAGAATTACTTTTGTTTGTCCTAACACAGATTATGAGCAAATAATTCATATGACCTTTTCTTTATGTCTGTTAAAACTCTTTGCTAATTACAAATTCATTGTCAAGCTTTTTATGACAATGTTG